ATATGATATATAAAATATATGTAAATAATATAATCCGTTTTTTTCTTTTTATACATGATATTTTCCATCAATATTATTTATTTATATTATTGTGTTATGTACGAATTGTTATAAAATTAGATAAATTAGAGTATATTTTTTAATATTCAAGATACTTTTCTAACATTATTTCAAATATGCTTTTTAAAGTTACACATTATATTATTCTGACATGGCTGATTGATATCCGAATTTGAGTAAATTACATTATTAAAAAAAAAAATACAGAATATATAAAAAAAAGTAACATTAATGTTAATAACAAACACAATTGTGCAACAGGGTTTATGTGGGCAGCATCAGTTTCGAATTGAAAGAAGACACAATCAGGCAAGCTTTCTTGCCATTTGGACCGATCAAGTCCATCAATATGTCTTGGGATCCCGTTACGCAGAAGCACAAGGGCTTCGCCTTTGTCGAATACGAGATACCCGAAGCCGCACAACTCGCTTTGGAACAAATGAACGGTGTCATGATCGGTGGCCGCAACATCAAGGTAGCGGGACGTACCTATATAACGAATTTCCTGTCCCCCAGCAATCCTATCATCCCGCCGGAGGTCGGCAAATTTTTATTTAGTCCTTTATCCAATATCTACGATTTTCGAGCGAGCTGCACAGCTTGCTCGAAAATCTTATTAATTTGCATAATATATATCTCTACTTATATTTTCTAAAGATTATTTTATCTGTATTTTTTTAATGAATTATCCCATCACAGATATCCTATTATGTTATGTACTTAGTAAATAGTTTCACAAATGTGCTAAAATAATATAGTGTTTATACATTATTATATATTATAATTTATAGACATTATATAGAAGTATTACATCTTAAAGATTACCTGTAATTTTCTTAGGTTGTAGGACGTCCGTCCAACATGCCACAAGCGCAATCGGTGATCGATGAGATCACTGAGGAGAGCAAACATTACAATCGTATATATATAGCATCGATACATCAAGATCTGACCGAGGATGATATTAAGTCAGTTTTCGAGGCATTTGGCCCAATCACGTATTGTAAGCTCGCGCAGGGCAGTTCACCGCATCGGCATAAGGGTTACGGATTCATCGAGTACGAGACTATGCAGGCCGCGTTAGAGGCTATCGCCTCCATGAATCTTTTCGACTTGGGAGGTCAATATCTAAGAGTGGGTAGAGCCATAACGCCACCGAATGCGCTTATGGGACCGCCTAGCGGTACCAGTATGATGCCGACTGCGGCTGCAGTAGCCGCGGCGGCTGCAACGGCGAAGATTCAAGCGATGGATGCTGTCGCCAGTAACGCAGTAGCGTTAGGTCTTACTAAACTTGGAGCTACAGCGCCGCCGATCCTGAATCAGGGTATGTAAATGTAAATTCACATAGATTTATACACATTTTATAAAAAATTTTAACTTAGAAAAGAGAATTATATTTTCCATTATTTCTATATTTTAGCACTTCCTGGTGTAGTACGGCCTACTATAGCACCTGCGACGATAATGGCACCACCAACGGTAGCGACAGTAGCACCGGTGATACCTCCACCTGGTATAGCTATACCGCAGACTTTAACGCGACCACCCGCCATTATCCAGCCGATTCCTGGTCAACCGGTCGTTATACCACCTCCAGCCGTTGTCGCTCCTACAATCGTCGGCACACCAGTCGTAAATATTTTATCAATGTATATCCAGATTAATATTCATAAATTATCGATATATTAATTATAAAAATTTAATTATACTTGTTAGATACCGGTTACAACAACCGCGAGTTCCGACATTATGAGACGGGCGCAGGAACAAGCGGCTCATCAGAAACAACAAGAGGAATTACAGAAGAAGCTATTAGAGGAAACGGAACCGCAAACGTTGCAGCAACAGGAAAATATGTCGATCAAAGGCCAGAGCGCACGTCATCTCGTTATGCAAAAGCTTATGCGTAAAGTCGAGTCCCGTGTAGTTATCCTGAGAAATATGGTGGCGCCGGAAGATGTGGACGAGACCCTACAGGAAGAGATTCAAGATGAATGCTCCAAATTTGGTGTGGTCGAGCGCGTTATTATTTATAAGGAGAGACAATCCGAGGATGATGAAAACGCGGAAGTTATCGTAAAGATATTCGTCGAATTCTCCCAAATGAGCGGTAAAGTATATTTACATGTGTCCGGATTAATAAATCTAATCTACGGTGATTTTATAACTTTTAACGACAATATCGCTATCGTTACATGTTGCGCATGTATTTTGACACGTTAAACTACATGCGCAACGACACATAATTATAGCGACATTGTCCTTAAGTTACAGAATCGCAATATTGTATATGTTAATGATCTATTGTATAATTTTTTTATTTTTTTCAGAAGCGGAACGTGCAAGAGATTCATTAAACGGTCGATATTTCGGTGGACGATTGGTTAAAGGAGAATTATACGACCAGGCCCTATTTGACAATAGTGATTTTTCTGGTTGATGTGTTATCTCATATTGAGTTTCTATCAATTTCATTCATATAAAGGAAATTCCATATTTAATGATCAACACTGTGTGAATTTTTCCATTAAACTACTATTTGTAATTGAAATCTCTTAGCTACGTGTTGAATAGTAAAAGCCAGAAGTTATCACTATTCTAACAATAAATTCGTAGTGATTAAATTGCAAAATGTAGGAATTTCACAGTGTAACTCGGAGAAAAAAAAAATTCAGATTGATCAAACGATTTAGAGCATCTGCGTACATATGTAAGTTTTTTTTTTGTAAAATGGATCATAGTGATTAAGATATTTTTTCCATAATTGCAATCACAACTGCAGTCAACTGCAGTTTCGAATGATGTAGTTTTTCAAGAAAAATATTTCATACAATAGATATCCATTATGTAGTATCAGTGTTATAATTTCAACGTAAATTGATATTATATAGGAAAGCGCGATATATCTTAATTTACATGTATAGAAATAATAGAATATTAAAAAATTGTTTTACATATATATATAATATTGTATATACACATATACCAGCTTTACAAGATCCATATTATGTAATATAATGATCTCTTGAAATATCCAATAATGTAAAGCTTTGTCAAATATTTATTTCATAACTATATAATAATTTATAGTTTTGCTCTAGGATTGTTGCTATATCTTAATTGATTTTCTGTTCTCAATACTTATATGAATCTTTTGGTACGTAATTGCTACCAAAATTTTTATACTCTTCATAAACTGGAAAATTTCCTGGATTGGAAGGTTGAGAAGCAGACTGTTGAATAGGAAGATCTTTAGAAGATTTTTCATCCTTGGAATAATTTTCTTCTAAAAGCTTTGCTGCATTCTTTTTCTTGGTCATCGCTAATCGATAGTTAGCTTCAACTTCTTCTCGCGTAGGTGGATCATTTCTACGATATCTTAACCAGGATTCCCATTCAGCGGGCAGTTCTTGATCAAAATCATCTTTGTTTACCGGTATGAAATATCGAGGAGCTCTGGGACGCCTGGAATTGCGAATATCCTCCTCGTAATATTTTGTGCCATAGTAATCTTCGCCCACTAATTTACGACGAGCGAATTGAGGCTTTAGCGAAGACACAAAACTATTCCAAATCATTTTGATGACGCCGCGTTCTTTAGCCATGTTATTATATATATATACTGCGAAAGAAACAATAGTTATATATATCTGACACGTGTATATAAATATAAAACATTTAAATATACATATAACATATTAAATATAATAAAATGTTAAAAATTGAGAAATATTGAAAATCTTAAAAATATTGACAATTGGCAAGTTTATAACCTCAAAACAATATTATTTAAATACAATTTTGGGCACACGATAAATAGCAACAGTTGTTTTGAACAAATTATAATTTTATATATAATCAAAATCATTAAAAAATCTCACCGTTTGTTCGATATAAGCACAAATAACAGAATCAAGACTTGTTTTTAGGTTAAATTAACCCCGTATGTTTCTTTTTGGAAATAATCATAGACATGTAGGATATAGATATATATATCTATGGAAATAAGTTTCCAACATAGAACTTATATAATGAGTGCGTTCGAAAATCTTATCCGTGGGGTAGAATAACTTTTAATTGACCGATAAGAACAAAAGGAGCAAAGATTTTTTTATTGTGATTGGACAATCAAACGCTATTTTTATTTTCCCTACGTCGATAATTTTTGTATGTACTTCGAAGTTACTAGATTTACTAGCGAAAAAATTTATCCCGAATTGGACACATTGCTGCCACGTCCAGACAGAATTCTGATAGGCCCTCGTCATATTTATCACGACATCGGCCAGCCGATACGTCACTTCCAGGCGTGCTGGAGCAGTGTCGCGTGTATATATGCATGAGACAACGCGCGCGTGTGTGCGTACGTGAGTGCAGTCACGCAACGTGTTGGTAGAGAGAGTGGTGCTGAAAATGGCCGTGCATAGCTCCGCCGTAGAGTATACCGATCTTCGCGAGAGATAGCTCCGCGTGTCGCGAACGGAACGCATAAAATCTCACGCGCGTGTGCCTTAAATAGTGCGCGATTCTCTCTTTTCTCGATGGACGGATCCCGTGAAACGAGACGCGCGACGTCAAACAGATAGCGGCTACATTCCGGTGGATTTTGCAACGCGGCGGGGAGGAGGAAAGCGGTGTGTCGTGTCCAGGACCACCAGGCTAATCGTTTTATCGCGCGAAAGAGGTAAGCTGGCGTTCTCGCACGAGACGTTTTTGTTTCTCGCGTCGTTTCCCGTCGTCCGGGTCCGCCCTAGAGTCGCATGTCGCACGCTGACACGCGGCATCGTGTCATCTCTCGGCAAAGTCGCCCGAAGCGAGAGCGGTATATACGGTCGCCTCGTTCTCTCTCTTTTTAGTTGCATCGAGCGGTCTGTTCCTCCTAACTGCACTTCTCTACACTTTGTGCGTTCAAAATCAGATTACCTACGTATATTTCGTATTTTGGAGAGAAGGGGATTGTATAGGTAGGTAGGTAGGTAGGTAGGTAGGTGGACAGGTAGGCACGGAGAAGGTGCAGCTGGTGAAGAAATCCGTAGGTTTTACGCGCAGGATTATACGACAGACGTCATAGTTTCACGCGACGCAAATCTTGCCTCTCGCCAACGTCGTCGTCCGACGACAACTAGGTATCTCTCGCTCTCATCTCTCAAGCGTCGTGCCGATTTCCAGCCGTGTGTCAGGGCGTGTTCGTGCGAGATTTAACTACTTACGGATACGCGGATAATACGCGAGAACGGAGCGAAAGAGAATTTTCGAAAATTTAGAGCCGAACGGCACTCTTGCACGCATCGGGGCGATACTGACGTAATGACGTGACCTAAAGGTTACTTGTCAAAATTGTGTCAACCCGCGTGACCGAGCGTCAACACCTGTCGACGTCTCGTATTCCATCTCTCTTTCTCCGTCTCTCCCTCTCGCTGGTCATCGCTCGCCTCGTTCGTTCATTCGCGCGATTTCTCGTTTTCTTATCGTTCGTTACGCTGCCACGCTCGCGATACAGACGGATCTCGCGCGATAAATCAGCGCGAGATGCAAACGCAGCCGAGAGCCGAGACGGCGCTATCGATCAGGTCAGGAGCGACGACGACGACGACGACGACGACGGTGGCGGATTGTAATCGCCGTGCTAAAGAGGATTATCGTCGAAGCAGAACGCATCTATGCGCTTCGTTACGTGTGCGCTTTTCCACGTATTAGTGTGCGATACTGCAACGGTATTCCGGTATTAACGCCTAATCGAATTTTCCGTTTCCCCGATGAGCCGATCCGGGGGACGTTTTGCAAGCCCTGCCCACGCGAAATGCTTTTACGAGTAAGGAGATATTCTGCAATCGTTCGTCGTTGCGTGTCACTTTTCTTCCTCTTGAAAGGAAATTGTGGAAGAGTGTGAAATATGTTGGCGTCTCGTCATTCCGTATTTTTTTCTTTTAATCTGATTAAATGACATTTTTTTTCTGTTCGCGTATTAACACGAAGCCAGAATGTAGAGAAGAACGGCAAATTACTCTGATCTGAAAAAAAAAAGAAAATAAAAATTGTCAATTTGAAGTAGTAGAAATTTAAATTTTTATTTTACTATTGTAAAATTACTGGAGAAGCGTTTGTGTTCTTCATTATCTGTATGTTGACAATACCCACTGCATCACAGATAGTCATTTTTTTAAGCTTATCAATGATATCTGAGTTTTCTCTAGCTCTGGTTATCTCTTATTTCTATCATTTATAACATGTGTGTGTATATATGTTATGTATAATATATTTCTCATACAATGGATTGTTCCAATAGATTGATATGATTGTTTTAAAGAATTTTAAACGCGCGTCTTTGTTACAATTTTGTATTTGATTTCCACTTCTAAACCAATATAAAGAGAGAGATCTTATGGATGGAATGTTGTTCTCTCTCTATTGACTATGTCCTAGTTTTCTCCATCACTGGAATTTCTACAACATTCATTATTTTCAAACTTTTAGAAGCATAAAAATATATTATTGTTATGTGTTACATTAAATATATAACTTTTTATTCAATAACTAAATATATATATAAAATTAAATATATATAAAGGATATACTTTGACTCTAAAATGAATTAAATACCAAGTTATGTTGACAAGTTATGAATTAAAATAGTCGATATTGTATAAACAAAAGGATAGAAATAAAAATTGTCAATTTGAAGTAGTAGAAATTTAAATTTTTATTTTACTATTGTAAAATTACTGGAGAAGCGTTTGTGTTCTTCATTATCTGTATGTTGACAATACCCACTGCATCACAGATAGTCATTTTTTTAAGCTTATCAATGATATCTGAGTTTTCTCTAGCTCTGGTTATCTCTTATTTCTATCATTTATAACATGTGTGTGTATATATGTTATGTATAATATATTTCTCATACAATGGATTGTTCCAATAGATTGATATGATTGTTTTAAAGAATTTTAAACGCGCGTCTTTGTTACAATTTTGTATTTGATTTCCACTTCTAAACCAATATAAAGAGAGAGATCTTATGGATGGAATGTTGTTCTCTCTCTATTGACTATGTCCTAGTTTTCTCCATCACTGGAATTTCTACAACATTCATTATTTTCAAACTTTTAGAAGCATAAAAATATATTATTGTTATGTGTTACATTAAATATATAACTTTTTATTCAATAACTAAATATATATATAAAATTAAATATATATAAAGGATATACTTTGACTCTAAAATGAATTAAATACCAAGTTATGTTGACAAGTTATGAATTAAAATAGTCGATATTGTATAAACAAAAGGATGATTAATGAGATAATGTATTATATTTTTCTGTTCCAGAACACTTGATTTCAATATACATTGCATATATAATTATTGAAGAGCAATGGGTTGCATTCATCTTATTTGTGCTCAAAGCAGTTTGCATCTAACAACAATCAATTAAGAAGTGTGGTTTAGAATTTACAAAAATGCGGGAGTGGTGTGGCACGGTCCCCTGGTATCCAGCAGGGATCTGAAACAAATATCTGTGTTTAAAGAACTCTTGATACAATAAATATCAAAATAATGTGGACTGTATAAAGTAATACATTGTTTTAAATGTACTGCTTATTACAACGCTGAAAAATAATAGTTACTAAGCTCTTTTAAACATTGAGCAAAGTAACGTTTCACGAATTTAATACACAATTGTTAATAGCTACATTTTGTACAGTCAAAGGGTATTTTGCATTCAAATTGTAATAATAAAAGTTCAATTTTTGAGTGTATGTGCAAATATATCAAACACTGTAACTGCCAAAATGTCATTCTTATCGAATCTGAAGAAAGCATTCCACTTTGGTGGTAATGATGCAAAGAAGAAGAAGCTGTATAACAATATTAAAATGGATTGTAACCCGGAAGAGTTTTGGGAAATGGTGGGTGAATTAGGCGATGGTGCATTTGGTAAAGTTTATAAGGTAATATCGCGTAAAGAAATTCTACTCTACTAAGGGTGATTATTCTATCCAGTCTATATATTTTTAAACGATTGTTATACTGTTTACTGCAGGCACAGAACAGGCAATCCAACCAGCTTGCCGCTGCAAAAATGTGTGCATTAGAGGGAGAAGATGATCTTAGCGATTTTATGATTGAGATAGATATTTTATCAGAATGCAAACATTCTAATATTGTTGAATTACATGAAGCCTATTTCATTGAAGGAAAATTATGGGTATGTTTTTTTTTCCCTTTTTTTTTGTGATAATGGTTTTATAACAGTCATAGTGGAAATTAATAAATTGGGAAATTATTTCTATGATATAATTAAATGATCAATCATTATGAAATAGTAAGTAAAAAGTGAAATGTTTTCATATAGATGTTAATCGAATATTGTGATGGTGGTGCTGTGGATTCCATAATGGTCGAACTGGAAAAAGCGCTAACTGAAATGCAAATAGCGTACATTTGTCAGTATATGACTAAAGGTCTTGCTTTCTTACACAAATCCAAAGTTATACACAGGGATTTAAAGGCAGGAAATGTTTTATTGACTATGGCAGGAGGTGTTAAATTAGGTAAATATATGCCTCAACTTTAATAAATATTTTTAATAATGTATCTCTCTATTATTGCTGCTGTATATGTGCATTTTAAACAAATGTATAAGATTTTTATCTTTGATTGTAGCTGATTTTGGAGTATCTGCAAAGAACAAACATACTTTACAGAAGCATGATACATTTATTGGCACTCCTTATTGGATGGCACCCGAAGTTGTCTTATGTGAAACATTTAGAGATAATCCTTATGATTTTAAAGTAGGTGATATACTCTCATATATATAAATGTATTTTTTATTCTTTACTCTAATTTCAACTTATAAACATGATACTTTTTCGATTGTTTAGGTGGACATCTGGTCTCTTGGTATAACTCTGATAGAGTTTGCACAAATGGAGCCACCGAACCACGAAATGTCGCCGATGCGAGTGCTACTTAAAATACAAAAAAGCGATCCGCCGAAATTGGATCAACCCGGGAAATGGAGTAAGGAATTTAATGATTTTATTGCTAAAGCACTTATAAAGGATCCGACCTCACGACCTACAGCTGATGATTTGTTAAAACATCCGTTCATAAGCCGAAATTTAGATCCAAAACCTGTCAGGGATTTGTTGCTTGAATATAAGGCGGATGTTGTTGAAGAAGAGCTCGTAGACGAGGAGGCGGAGGTAGGATTTATTTCTCACCATGTATTTTACTTTAAATTCTTCATGTACATGTTAATTATGCAATAAAATTAATTTGATTAGTGATAAATTAATAAGTATAAATTCATAGAATTAAATATAACATACATGATTATATTTATATTCAAAAAATACAAATTGTATCCATAAGTATTCTTTTATATGAATTAAACACATTTGCCTTATATACAAAGAAGAAGAAATATTTTAACATAATATTTTTACATATCTTGATTTATACCATAGTTGCATTAAAATTGCATAAACTGTGTATATATCTTGATATCAAAATTTCAATTTTTACATGTGCGAAAAGAATTTATTCTAGTACAAGAAGAGTTTGCATCTTAATGCAATAGCATGGGTAGATATCCACACATTTCATAATATAAATAGATATACATTAAGTTTCTGACAATGCAGAATTAACATGTATTACACATTGTTACATGCTTCCGTTATTATAGAAGGCCAAAAAAACGAAAAAACACAGAGAACAATATCAACGAATTGGTAAGCTGCTTCTAGGTGAAGCATATATGTGTCTCATTTACCATTTATACAATGGAATATAAATTGTTAAAATGTTGATCAGATATTGTGTCGATTAAAACCACTATTCCCGCGACCAATACTTCTAAAAAATTAAGAGCATAATTTATAGTTTGATGGTTTACAAGTTATAAATTTTTAAATCTGAAATGAGAAGATGATACGAGATTGTTTGTATTTATATGCAACTGATATGCATGATGTAATCTTAGTTAAATATATAAATATTGCAGTAATAATGGTTGCAATAATAATGCATGCATTTAAAGTTAAATTCTGATATATCATAAATTTTATTTTTTTCTTCGATCACAAGGAATAAGTGGTTAAAAGTGTCTGTAGAAGAGTATTGATAGTAGAACATCTTCTATATGTATAAAATATATATTGGTGTGATCAGAATGAATGTATTTGTGATAATTGTAATTACTTTGGCTGTGCATGCGGTTCTCCTGGCCCTCGCCAGCCTCATTACCCCAATGTATGTCAGGTTAGTAGCTTGCACTGTCGCATTCTATGCGCTAACAGGATCGATTAATCCTGCAAGACTGAGAGCTACATAATATACAAACAAACAAAATCATATATATTACATAATATAAAAATATAAATATTTTACACAGCTTTCATGTTACAGGCTGTTTTCTCTGAAACTATTCAAAAATATAAGGGATAGCAATCAAAATTTTTTGGTGATATTTCAAGATTTATTATGGAATAAATGAGGTGTTGGGTTGAAAGTTTCAAATAGTATTATAGATAAAATATAAAATATTTACTTTCCGATGATTACATCTTAATATTTTTATATGTGGAATGATAAGAACTTATATAAGAAAACATAAAGTTTTATTTTAAAAAGCAAGGGAGGATATTGGAGGATTTGTATTGTATGTTTTATTTACCCTATCAAAGACCAATTTTAATATATCAAAAAAGAATTTGGTTATTTGTAATAGTTTCTATAAGAAAGCAGCTTATGGTTTACATAAATCATATATCCTATACATTATATGCAGCATGAAATAATATTATATTTTGTATCTTCTTTTTTTTTCAATGCTCTATCGTTATATTTTTTATATATAAAAATAACTAACTTATAATTATGATCTGTAGTATTGATTTCGATTTTTATCTGTGCATTTTTAGTTACATGTTACTTTTAATATCTCATTATTAGTAGTGATATGAAAATTAAATTATTAAAAATTGAAAGAAATTTTATTTTATTTGTTATATTCGCGTATAAATCACATATATATTAATGTTTCAGGAGCAGCGCACGTCTCAGCTTCCTCTGGAGCTGGATCAAATCACAGATGACTCCGCTCCTACGCGCCTTGATGCTGAAATTAAGAGTTAGCATTTTACAAAATTTTATCTTATACTTCATGGACACAACATTGCAAAATATACTAATATTTTCTTCGTTTTCTAGTCGCTGACAAAGAAAATCTCGTGGCATTACCTGCACCTATGAAGAAAGAAGAAAGTAATAAGCGTGAGATGAACCGTGATGGTGAGAAGGAGGACAAGAATAAAAGATTACGTAAGGCTGAATCCAAAGAGAACATACAGCCTCCACCTGCAGAGAAAAAACAGGTATTTGATATAATTGATTAGTTCATTAGATAATAACTCATTGTATCCTTGCATTTGAAGAATATTAAGAATGTTAATGTCGTGTATAAATTATTTGTTCAGGCACCTAAGCCGCCAAGCGAAACAAGCGAGCGTAGATTATCTCGAGATAAAGGGCCGGCGCCTCCCCCACCACCCATGCGTCAAGATAGCGAAGAAAAGAAGAAGAAGGACGTCGAAGAGAGAGAAAACATTTCAAAAGATGTCGAAAAGATCGTGAATCGAACGGATAAACAGAAATCTGCCGAAGACAAATCGCAAATTAATAAGTTATCGCAAAATGAAAAGACGGTGGATCAGCAAGTGACAAACATTAAAGAACAAAGAAACTTGGAAACTGAAGATCGGATGCAAAATGAATTGGATGGTTCCGGGAAAATAAAGAAAGCTGAAAATGAAGATAATGTTAAACTGTTCGATAATATAAGAAAATTTGAAAATCAGCAGAAGTTAATGAACAGAAAATCGAGTCCCGCTTCGAAAAAGCAAATGGGAGTAAATGAAAAACGCAAATCGGCACCTGTAAAGCCAGAAATGATTGAAGATTTGTCGAAAATAATATATAAGCAATCATCTTTAGAAAATAAGGATAGGTATTTTTTATTTAATTATTTATTTTTTATTTATAGTGCGCATTTAAACTCGAATACTGAAATGGAATTGAAAGAAAACTCTTTATCTTAAAATAATATTTCAATTTTTAGGATGAAAAATAAATTATTATCCGTTGATGATGTAACGAATTACAATCTACAATCTCAAGAGAAAGGAGATTATAAGAGTTTGGAAGAAAAACGGAAATCTGTCGGAGAGAAACTGAACGCTGTATTGGAGAAGCGATTGTCCATGGATTCTGGAAAAAGAATAAGCGATGGTTCTATGGAAACTTTGAAGCATACATCTACCGTCGCATCGACGGTTCTAGCAGAGAAGAATAACGTTAAGGCTAATTCCACAGAGGATATTAAGACACAGTTTGATCTAACAAAGACTGAGAATGCGACTGTGAAAAGTCGCAGCGCGGGATCGTCCAGAAACGATTCCTTGGAAAACTTCTCGGACGAATTACACGTTAAAGTGGATGATAATAGCACAGAACACGGGCGAAAAGACGCAGTAAGCGACGATAAGGGTTTAGAGAAACAAGATTCGGGAATTAACGTGTCAGTAATTACGTCGACGCCGCTGAAAAGTAGAAGCGGTTCGAGAAGAAGCAGCGGAGACAATATAGTCGTTATTACTGGTAAAAATTGAATAATATATCAATCTGGAATAAATAAATTTATCTTTACCTTTTATCTATATCTTTATCTATAAATTTATCTATACCTTTTTTCTACTTATGTTGTATTACTCACGTTGCAGGAAAAAATCAACCCGAGCAAGAAGTACGCTTAAACACTTCGACTGTCCGTATTACTGCCGACTCGCCGGACATGTCGAATAGCCTAGCGAGTAACATAAGTCAGGTTACCGTCGTGACGACGCATCCGCCCGTACTGGTGGACGCACCCTCGACGACGACGACGACGACGTCAACGACGACGACGACGACGACGCCTCTTCCGCGTCGCACTTCACCGACGTCGGAAGTCGTTATCGTTGCCAACGAAATGAACAAGACTCAGGTGAATGACAATTCGAATGTCGACGATGACGCATTTCCTAGTCTGGATAGTCTGGAATATACGCCGCAAGAACAGCCTATCGTACTTACCGACGTGTCCAAGAGGATTGGTAAAAAGTTGGACGAGTCAGAAGTGATTATAGTGAGCCCAATTGTGGACGAGTTGCAAGATACCAGTCACGTCTCCGTAGTTACGGTGGGCGATGATAAGGAACAAGTGAAGGACTCTTCGATATCCAAGAAGCATAACGTTATTCGTACCGGTTCTTCTCACAGTGATTTGTACTGGTGGACGCACCCTCGACGACGACGTCAACGACGACGACGACGACGACGCCTCTTCCGCGTCGCACTTCACCGACGTCGGAAGTCGTTATCGTTGCCAACGAAATGAACAAGACTCAGGTGAATGACAATTCGATTGTCGACGATGACGCATTTCCTAGTCTGGATAGTCTGGAATATACGCCGCAAGAACAGCCTATCGTACTTACCGACGTGTCCAAGAGGATTGGTAAAAAGTTGGACGAGTCAGAAGTGATTATAGTGAGCCCAATTGTGGACGAGTTGCAAGATACCAGTCACGTCTCCGTAGTTACGGTGGGCGATGATAAGGAACAAGTGAAGGACTCTTCGATATCCAAGAAGCATAACGTTATTCGTACCGGTTCTTCTCACAGTGATTTGAGCTCGAATGAGAGATCGAGCTTGAAGAGCGATAGCGGAGACGAGAGCGGCAAAGTAATGGTCGCCGGTACGACTATAGAACCTTCGGAAGTGGACAACTACGAGAGAAACGGAGCGAAGAAGATGAATGGATTGATCAAGAATGAGATCATGCCGCATCACATCGACGATAGAATCGTGAAGACGGTCAAGCCGAAGGAGATCAACGTCAAGAGTTTCGGCAAGGAAAAACGAGTTTCTCCGGATAGCTTCGAAGGTTCCAGGTCTCAGAGCGATTCCAGTTCCATAAGATCGCACACCCCGAGCAAGAGCATCGATCGTTCCGACGCCGAATCCATCTCGACGACGATCAGTCAGGATAGCAGAGAATCGAACAAGGAAAATCGATTGAATCAAGCTCAGCACACGGAAGTCGACGAGGAGGTCGTTCTGCGTCGTAAGCCCGATTACAATCGCGAAATATCTCGACCGACCAGAACAAAGGAGGATATACAAATGATGAATTTGAAAAAGAAAACGAGAAAACGCACGAGAAAGTTCGAGATTGATGGTGTCGTGATGACGACGACGACTTCGAAGGTGATATACGGCGACGATGAGAACGGCAAGGTGTACGACGATCAGATATTCAGGAAGCAAGAGCTGAGGGAATTGAAGATGCTGCAGAAAATGGAGCAGAAGCAATTCCAGGATTTGGCACAGAAGGCTCAGTTCAACAAGGATCAGCAGGAGAAGCGGTTCGAGCAGGAACGGCAACTCTTGGAACGTAATGCTGAAGCGGATTTAGAAGCGCTTGCCAGACAACAGAGACAGCAGATCGAGCGGGCCGAGGCGCAGCAGGAAGTCGATCTACGATTGGCGTCCAAGAAAATTCGTAGCGAGCAAGAGAGGGAACTCAAGCAGTTCCGAGAGGGTCTGAAACAAGAATTGAGATTATTGAAGCAAGAGATAGACTTGATGCCAAAGGATAAGCGGAAGAGTGCGTTTAAGATACGAAAGGAGAAGCTTGAAGCAGAGCACGAGGAGCGAGAGAAGTTCTTCCTGGAGAAGCTCAATGAGAGTCACGAGATGTCGCTGAGGCGATTGTCGGATAGTCATCGCGAGAAGATCGCGTTAATGGAGCGGCAATTCTTGCAGCAGAAACAGCAATTGATGCGTGGCAGGGAGGCGGCCATCTGGGAGCAGGAGGAACGGCAGATACACGAGCGGCAACAATTACTCAAGAAACAGCTCAAGGATATATTCTTCCTGCAGAGACATCAGATGCTCATACGGCATGAGAAAGAGCTGGAACAGATGAAGCGAATGAATCAGAGAAAGGAGGAAGAGTTGATCAAGCGGCAAACGGCGGAACGTAGAAATCTGCCTAAGCGTATTCGCAACGAAATGAAGGCGCGCGAGATGATGTTCCGCGAATCGATGAGGATTTCGATGTCGTCCGTGCTCGCGCCGGATCCCGACGCCGAGCGGGAGAAGCTGAAAAAGTTTCAGGAGAACGAGAAGAAGAGATACAGAGCGGAGCAACAGAGATTTGAACTGAAACATTCCAGGCAGCTCGAGGAAGTAAGGGCCCAGAGCGATGCCACAATCAAGGAACTGGAGCAATTGCAGAACGAAAAGCGAAAAATGCTAATGGAACACGAGACATTAAAGTTGAAGGAACAGGAGGAGGCTTACGGCAAAGAAATTCGTGAGTGGAAAGCGCAACTTAAGCCTCGAAAGCAGGTAAATATTGGGCAAATCTCGGCTAAATGGACAAAAATTGTCCCAAGTTTTACGTTTTATCGATGTTTCTCTTGGATGCAAAAATTGATCTTTGACAGCCTGGTAGTGTAATCGCTTTTGAATTTTCTATCGATTCAGCGATGTGCTTCACTTTCAAATTTTTTTATTTTATTTTATTTTATTTTTATTTTATGCATCTATAACAGTGTGTGAGAATTTAGTTTATTTGGAAGGTCGGCGCAAACCGACGCAACGTCGTAAAGTAACCGAGAGCCGAGATATGGGCGCAAACTCGATTGTTCGATTGATTGTTTCTTGTAATAAACGTCCGCTTCTGCATCCAGCTTGCGTCGCTTTGCGCGGAGCTTTTAATTTGCATGACTAATCATTAATAAAATAAAAGTCACTGTAAATAATTAAAAACAATTAGAGAAAGCGGGAGAAAAAGGAAATATACGATATAGAATTTGCAGTTAAAATATTTTAAACGCAACAAAGTATCGAGCACTATAAGTCTGAAATAAGTCTTGATGTACCTGTTATAGAAGATAGAAGCTGATCTGGCGGCTGAAATGGAAGCATTGGAAAAGCTCTACCAAGACTATTTGCCTTCTTCTGGTCTTCTTAGTGGTCTCTCTTTTCCCTTTTTCGACTACTCTAAAACCGTAATTTCCGACACTTGGAAGAGATCTCCACGCTTACCGCGCTCCACTCCCACCTCTCCGTCTTTCACTATACCCAGGGTGTCGCTAAAAATTAGTGGTTCGGACGCAGGCACCTACACGTCGAACGGCACGCTCTCACGAAGTCATTCTAGACCGGATTTAGTCCCACCTTTTCGTAAATTATACCCGTTCTAAATCATCCTCCTAATAATATGTTCGTATAGGCAAAACATTTTAACATATATACATGCATGTTATATATGCGTATACAAATCGATGTTTCTTCTTTTTGCGTTTTTTTCAAAGGCATAGAGTAACATTTTTCAAGTGTACGCATATATATATATATAGATTTCCAAGTCTTCCCAGCTTCTGCAAATGGCTTCATTTCCATGTGTTGTTTGCATGCATTTAACGCATCAGTGTATGTGTCCTTGCATATCCTTGGTCTAAAATAAAAAAATTCGTGTTTTAGTAAGGGAACATTCTTTAAATCATCTACATTTCGAAATATATCACAATTTTGTTGCAACTTCATTCTTATATAGCTTTCTTTCAAACATTTATAAAATGTCCATGTTTATATAACATATACTTTCCCTTGAATAACCATAGAAAAATAATCTTTGCTATACTCATTGGTGCCTTTAATAATAATGCCATAGATCGGCAGATATACAGATTAGATGTAGTATATATACATATTTTCTATGTATGAAATGCAAAAAGTTATTAATATAACTTGAAAGATAAGTAACTATACATGGTTTTTGTAAAAAAAAACTTGTGGGATATATATATCGGGAGAAATCGTATTATATAATAGGGCAGATTAATTTATTCTTTATGAATTACGGTTCTAAGAGTTGAAAAAAATATGCAGTCAGTCAGATAAAATTTTAATTTCTTGAGATCTGTATAACAAGTCGGATAAGATGTTAATTTCCCGAGATCTATGTAGAAAGTTTGAGTGTGTGTTAGTGTTCTTGTTTTTTCTCTCTCTTTCTATTTTTCTTTCATTTCCATTCAATGTGTAATTTTTGATCCATTTGTAGTTTATAAAAAATCTATTGATAAAAGTGCTTGAAGGAAGGAAGGAGAAACACTATTAATAAATTTGTGTATCTAATATATATTAAATATACAGATTTCAGTTAAAATTATTAATATGGGGGAATATTTATAAGAATAGAAATAACATAAAAAGAATAATACAATTCTCGTTGTGTGTATATACATTTTTAGAATTATATGTGAGAATTACATTTGTACAACATTGTAATTTTGTCCATGTATTTCGATTTAATCACACACACATATCATAAATTATATTGTGCTTCATTATAAGCTTAAATGGTAAAAATATGGAAATAACAGGGTAAGTGTGTTTACGGTTTAGAATTAGCAAAATAAGGTGTCATGAGCGGTTTCCTTGATGGGTCCCATAACTATGATTGTTTAATAGCATATACAATCAATTTTTTTTATTACAGTCCTCTTACTTGAATAATATACATATATGTGATCCTATAGAAAAATCCTAATGAAAAGTTAAAAAGAGATTCCACAAGTTTCGGATTCAAAGCTGTGTACAAAGTGTTAAGCCACAAGGTTAGTCCATAATATTGTTGTAAAACATCGTTGGACCATGCTTCACACGCGTTTGCAGCGATTCTGTAAATATAAAGATACTCGATTTTTGTTTCTGCACATTTATTCCCTTCTAGAGATTTATAAATACTATCATATATATTGCTAATTAGATGACATGAGAAAGATCTACACTCTATTATAATCCAATGTATACAAAATAAATACAAAATAAATCTCTTCTAATGTCTTTCTCACATTACAGAAACTTGAAGAACAGTTCGCGTTACAACTCGAGGAGCAAGAGGCGATTTATGGTCCTAGTGCGATACCGTTATGCTTGCCGGCCGATCTTCCCGATTTGACTCATCATACGACCGAGTCTACGCGTAGTTCGTTGTCTTCCGTAAGCGAGGGCTGAAGCTGAAGGCTTTTGAATTAAATAAACGAGAAAACGTGTACAAAATTATGCACGTACGCGTGCGTGTGATCTTAATATGTCTAAACGTCACTGCAAAACTGAATAGTTAATACTTTTTTGCATATCGATTATCATTATGATTCATATATGTATATAATATCGCGATAACGTGTTTTGGAACTGAATAATTTCTATCTAGATACGGCTATATTGTTTATATATATATAAACTTGACTCACCATAAAAATGATAGTAATGTCTAAATATTTCGAAAATTTTTACACGTTACACATTTATAATTCTTGGATGAAATTCAGTAATACTGCTCGTCGCGCGTAATTTGAATAGTGAACGTACAATGAAAGTACTATTAAATTGCAAAATTACCGAAATAAGCGTCGATTTTTTGCAATGATATGGAACTTCCGAAACATCTAAAGAGAAATGTTTTGTAACTCATTGCTACGAAAGCCAGTTTACATAATTTGATACTAGCAATATTTTATCCAAAATATATATATCTGTATAGATTGTTATATATAATTTATATATCACGATATAGCGATATATACATTGATATACTTAAATTAATCCGCCCATACCTGATCTTGGAATCTTATTGCAACATGAAAGACACTAACACTCCATTGGGTATAAAAAAAACATACCTTTGTATGTATTATATAACATATAAAAGTTAACCGTCAGTTAACCGATGATAACTTTAAGGGAGGAGACTCTTATCGTTGTGTATGTACGTATGTTTATAGAGAATTTGTAATAATTTTACAGTTATATACAATCCACAGACATGTGGAATGTATATTTTCTATATTTAACAAAAAAAGAGATGATTATATCCCTGTATACCCTCCTATCAACTCAATTCGATTCGGTTGTGCTGTCGGGGCGTATCGGAAATTTCTAATATTTGTTATGTGATTATATATAATAGCGGTATAAGGCAATACAGACCGCTCGACTTGTTTTAAACTATCACGATTTTAAGGTATTATCTACCTATACATAGAATCGTTGAATTATGTACATGGTATAAATTCATGTAATAATGTTAAGCTGTAGTCACCATGTTCGGTTATAGTTACGTTATTTATAAAAAAAAAGTTTATAGTAGCAACGCGAGTATTCTACTTCAGACGAATATTTTAGTAAATATCCGTGAACTTGAATTACTTTGTTCCTTAAAATTCCACTATTTCTCTCCAATATGGGGATTATATTATACGCTTGAAATTATATCGTATAAAATTGTATAAATGATAAGGCGTGATATTTTAAATTATATTTAAAAAATTATGGTATTCTATAAATATTTGATATCTACATAAAATATAATTTCAATTTATATAATTTTTTGGAACACAAACATGGAATACATATATCTAAACGCGAAAATGATATAAGCCTGTTCACGATAAAACTAAAAATTTGTGAAAAGGTTTCATACTAATTCTAAATACGATGCTCTACGAGAATAAATAATAATTATTCCTGATTATAAGGAACAAAGTAATCTGAGATTTTACATTGCACTAAAAATCAAAGGATAACACCAAATATATATACATTGTACGTTTGCATGGTTGTGTAGCCTGATGACATTCTAGAGAATCTCTCTCATAATGCATACTTAAAACGAGCATGCGTGGCTAATGCAAGCTGTAGATAAAGAGTACTTGTATAAAAAGGAATATCTTTTTTTTATTGTATAAATTATGCTACTCTACGACGTGGATCAGTTTTGCAATACGGGATGTCTCAGCGTCGAATATTTTCCTTTGAATCTTTTGATCGTCTTGAAAATCATTTCTTTCTTCAAAAAGAAAGTCGAGATTATATAAATAGACTTTAGAATTTTAGTCTACAAGTATATATAGCCAAAGCAAGATGCACGACAGAAATGAGACATTCTACACATATTCGAGAAGTTTCGTGTATATAGAATTCTGATGAATCGCTTAAATATTAAGGAACTGTAATCTAGTATAAATACCATCGTGTTATAATGATCGATTAAGAAGCAGATTTCTTTGTCTTTCTTCAATAAATACTGTGTATATCTTTTATGCAACGAGAAGATTGATTTCGCGAAACATTATATCTTACTATTCCTATGTCATACTAATCATTAAACAGTTTTATTAATATTAATTATTAATACTTCTTCATATATTAACGACAAATATGAAAGAATTAGAATTATTCATCATGTTAATTTATTTGTAAGAGTTTATATTGAAAATACATAAATTTCAAAAACTTGCAATCTTATTGAATGTCATTAAAAATATTTTAGATAAAAAATTTTGTGTGTGTGTGTGTGTGTGTGTGGTAACAACTGTTCCTTTAAATATATTATTAGATTTCAGAAATTAAAAACTAAAGAAAAGTAAAATATTACCATATTTGCACATTTATTAATATAGAAAGTATTTAAACTATGTGAATATTTTAATTCTCCATGCGTTATATAGTATGTATCATATCATTTTGAGTTTGAATGTAAATAGAACTTTTTAGAGAGAAAGCATATGTAACATACGATATTTGTCAAATGAATTAAGAAATATCTTAATTGAATATCCCGCTTTGTCGGATTAATTCATACCCTGTTTATATGAAAATCTTTAGGATCTTTTCAATCCATGCGATGATCACTGATTGGTCCGTTCTCTCACATCCAACGAATCAAGCTCGTTTACGCTTCGCGTTCTCTTCTTCGAATATCCATTGGTTCATTGGAAGCATTGAAAGGCGGCCATTAGACACTTCGTGAAATGTTTCTCGTATTTTCTTTCCGGTTAACGCCGCGGCATTGAACCATCGTCGGTGAGTGAAGAGAATGTTAATCGCGTGGCATCTGACTGAAATGATGAGAAATTGAGCATCATTTTATGTAGACGAGAATCTATAAAATCGTTATTAACATATTTTTCGTATATATGAAAAATCGTCAAGATATCTTTCGATTACCTTGTATCGCAGTCCGCATCATGCATAACCTGTCATTTCCTAACACACGTTTCATTCTGTATACCCTCGTCGATTGATATACCGAGTTCATATCTCAGTGAAAATCGAGATTCTCACGATAATAAATCTGCATTGCAGGATCTACGAAGATGAAGTACAATCGGTTAGTGTCCTCCTCGCGTAGGAAGAACAGAAAAAGGCATTTCACAGCGCCTTCTCACATCAGACGGCGGCTTATGTCTGCTCCGCTGTCCAAGGAATTACGACAAAAGTATAATGTGCGCTCGATGCCAATTCGCAAGGATGACGAAGTGCAGGTGAGTCCATCGTAATCCTAAAATTCAACCTGTTTTTCTCGTATTCTTATCGTAAATATTAAATCACCCTATTCAAAATAATGATATTTCTCAAAATGTTAACATTAAAGTACATATATATTAAACTTTATATATATGTATAGCATTAATATATCTAAATATATGTATTTCAAAGGTTGTACGTGGCCATTACAAGGGTCAACAAGTAGGAAAAGTTGTCCAAGTTTACAGGAAAAAGTTTGTCATATACATTGAGCGAATTCAGCGTGAGAAGGCAAACAGTGCAAATGTATACGTCGGCATTGACCCTTCCAAGGTATATATAATTGCAGTATGATTAATAAAGTATATGTATTAATATATTTATATTTCTTCTACATTCATGATGAACTAAACCAAATCCATTCACATAGGATTAGATAAATAGCTTGACTTGTAAACTTTGTGCAGGGTTTTCCTGTATATTTGTTGACAAATCTTGCTCGATCTAATTGATGCAGAAAATTGGCACTGATAATATAATTGTTTTCTTTAATTTTGTAAGTTTGTCTCTTCATGCAGTTAACTTATCATATTATTTTTTCAGACGGTTATTGTAAAGCTGAAAATGGATAAAGACCGTAAAAAGATAATTGATAGGCGAAGTAAAGGCAGATTGGCTGCGTTAGGAAAAGACAAAGGCAAATATACAGAAGACGTGACAGCTGCTATGGAAACATCGTAAATTTTCCTTTGTTTATGTATAACAATAAAACAACAAAAAAACAAAATTTTCAATTTCACAGAAAATCCCTTGTATTTGACACTAAAATTTCTCTTACATATTTCACATAGAAGCTAGAAGTATATACTTAGATAAAAATATAAATTTATTTTAAATAGTAGAGAGAGAACTCTATATCGTGCTCGCGCGTGTGTATTATACAATAACAAGAATTATAGATTAAATTGTGCTTTTCACATAATGAATGTTCTCTATAAACAGTAATACGTAATACTTTTAATACTTTTGTTTTTCTTATTGCTTTGAAATTGCAAGAGCTCGCAAAATATGTAAGAATAAATTGATGATGTCTAAATAAATATTAATCGTTGCCAAGATATATTCTTCAGGCGAAAGAGTCTGCATTATTGCTTGGGTGTCAAAAACAATAAACAGGCAGAACAATAATGCACCTCCGATGCTTATGGCTAATTCCAGTGCAGTGCTATGAACAAAAATTTGTAAGAAACCACCGATCAAGAGGCACCAAAGTCCAATAAATAATCTGTAAAATAAGAAGAAAACAATATATAACTCTCTGAGGAATGAAAAAAAAAGTCGTGCAAACGCATAAAAGATTTACTAACCCAAATCCCATAAATGAGAAGTCTCGTTTGGTTTGGAAAGTGTAAGCTGTCAAACCAAGTAAAACCGTCAATGTTATAAAGAGAGCTTCTAAGACAACTGTGGTGTCGTACATGGACACTACAACTCCCACAGTATACGCCTGTACCAATGTCTACAATTTTTAAAGCAAATTTTAATAAACACTATATACATATAACAAAGTAAACGATAATCAGTCCTCCTTTATACTTACAAATGCGCTTAAAAGGATTAAATTAGCAGGATGATCCCTTCTTTTTATCAGCAGGCCAATTAAAATTCCCATTGTCAAGAAAAAAGCTAAGCCTATAGTCCATGGGCTAAATAACAAATAAATAAATTAATGCTTTTATATGTATATATAATTAAAGTAAATATTCAAAGAAACTGTCTTACTTATCTTGTACATATAATTTCACAGTTGAGCTCATGACAAATACCGAAGCCACCACAACTGTCATCAAGAGCTGGATGGTCAACAAACCATAAACCTTCCGTAAGAAGCCTACGCAAATCATATTGTTATTTCATAATTAGTGGATATTAAGTAGCACAATATTTTTAAATTATAAATAATTACATATTAAAATGTCAAAAGGAACATTTCACATTAAACATATGTTAACTTAAAACTCCTATAATGATGTTTACAATTACCCATTCGTATATTGATATCTGCATTGTGCACATTATTCCTATATGCAAAATCAGTTTGTATTTCATGTTGAGATTGTTCCTTGCCACCTCGTTCAACATCTTCCTCGACCAATATTAATGGTACAGTAGCCATTTTTATTTTCCTGAGAGTAAACAATTTGGAGTAACATTGACAAATTATATCATTTTCAAAGGGGAAATGACAATTGGATTTATATGCCTCATTAAATATTAGTCAAATAGATCAATAAACTTTAAGCATATACATATATATGTATAATAGAGAAAGATTCCTTGAGAGAATCAAATTTTATAATGAATTTCTCTCTTTTTCAATATGTGACACAACCATGTCAGAAATTTTCTTAAAATGACAATTGCACAGGACGCTTATAAGACACACCTTGATTTCTTTGGTAGCTCTAAAGAGCAAAACTGAAGTTGCCAAGTTATATTTACACTCTGCTTTAATAAGTGTCAATTATTTGACATCGTTATATGTAAAATCGATCAAATATGAAAACAGAGATACGTTATTTCATAGGAAATGTTATGGCTGAGTTCGGGTAACAGCACTAGCGCTTACGCGCTAACAGAGGTGTGTTCGAAAATATCACCCGTGTGCACACGAGCGTCGTTCTATCTTTATTCAACTTTCAGTAAATAACAAGGATAGAACGATGCTCGTGTGCACACGGATGGTGTTTTCGAACGCGCCCCTATGTATGACGTGTGACTACAGTGCCATCTGGAAAGAGTAAATTTGACAGGAAGAAGAGGGGAAGTTCAAACAAGCACTTTGTTTTTCTAAATTCGACGAAAGTAAGAATTGCAAAGAGTAAGTATAATTATTCTATTCACAGAGATGTGTAACTTCTTAAATTCTTATAATCTTCATTTATACTTATTGCAAATATGTAATTTTTGAATTTATAACATGGATGTTTATAATAGATCTGTAATAATAACCTCTTCAGTTTGTAAGATCCATCTTTTAAAGTATTGCTTACTCCAAGATGCACCTTTCAAAATATCATTATTAATTGTTCTTACCTACTTTAATTATTTTCAAGTTTTATTTTATTCACGTTTCAAAAATTAATTTAATAGCATGGTACGAAGCCGTACACCATCGCCAGGAAGACGAAGAGATCGATCTCGAGAACGAGATCGCGACAGGGATCGACGAAGGAGGCGGTCGCGAGAGAGAAGACGAAGGTACACTTGAAACAAAAAAAATTTATAACATTCATAAAAAAAATATATTTTCCAATTATTTATAGATCTGTAGAACGAGACAGAGCGAAGTCAAGGGACAGAGATAGGGAACGTGAACGTGAAAGAGACAGACATAGAAGATCGTATACTAGATCCAGATCGAGAGAACGTGATAGATCAAAACATAGATCAAAACCGAAACCTTCGACAAATGAACGACCCATTATCACAGGTATTTGATTATTCACTTAACATATATTTGAAAAACAGTACTTTGCTATGCGATCTGTTTGAATTAAAGAAATCTATAAAATTATAAATTTGGATTATTAAGAGAAGTATATTCATTAAGATACTATAGAGTTATGTTATATATTGTAGAAGCGGACCTTCAAGGCAAGACTCCGGAAGAACAAGAGATGATGAGAATAATGGGATTTTGCGATTTTGACACTACTAAAGGCAAAAAGGTGGATGGAAACGATGTAGGTGCTGTTCATGTTATTTTGAAAAGAAAATACAGGCAGTACATGAACAGAAAGGGTGGATTTAACAGACCTCTAGACTTTGTCGCATAATCCCTAATACAGTTTTAAGCGACAACCATCTTATGAAATAGAGTGACACCATAAACTTTTTGAAGAGAAGAGAATATAAATGAGATAAGACTATAATTCTATAATTAATGTGATAATTAACGAGTTATCATATTTAATAAATGCAACATTATGTATAATAACAAGATATTTATACTTAATAAATGTACTAATTATTTTATATTAATGACTGAAATATGTGTGTGTAGCTCAAGACCTGTATAAAAAAAACCTTATTAAATAATATCGCAAGAATATAATTTTATATATCAAAATAACTTGATTACATAAGACATATAATTCTAAGGCACTTATTGTTTTAGGATTTTTATGATTTTCTAGATCGTTTTGAAGGCGGTGATTTTATAGAAGTTTCCATAGATACATTCATAGATACATTATTTATTCTAGATTGTTTTGAAGTTTGTAATTCTGTAGACGATTCCATAGACATATTATTTATATCTGCATTAGATGCATTTTGACTACGACGAGAATTTTGTGTATCCAGCTGTTTTGAGAAAAATATAATATAAAACTTAATACCAAGACTTTAAAGAATATTGAGCTCTTTATATTCTTACCATGCTTACATTCATCTTCTCTAGTGCTTCTGTTAATTGCGTGTTCTTTATACGAAAATCTCGCGTTACACTATGCTTTATATAAGTCTCAAGTGGAACCTACAGTTAATGAACATGCATATATTATAATTGCTTTTATTAAGATAGATTCATATCTCTTTTTCACTATGCTACACATTAATTTCTTAAATACAATACTTACGCCAGTCTTTTTGTCAAGTGATAAAACTTCTTTGTGAAATTGTTCAATTTCATATATCACACAAGGTATAATCTTAGTCTCTTTTAAAATCTTATTTCTTCGCACATGTGAATCAGCTTTCGATTTTGATGCATTTTGAGTTTCCTACGTATACAATATATATAAATGTATATTTAATTTTTATTATATATAATGAGATTAAATTATACTTTTTACAGATAAATACCTCAGTATGTGTTATTAAATTATAAAATGCAGATTTTAATGGTTTACCGGCCGATTGAATTACTTGAATAAATCTGAAATTGCATAAAAATTAAATAAAATTAGATATATAAATATCACTATTTGTAATAATATACATGAAATCTGATATGTAAGAGTCTTACTTGACTGATTGAAACGCTGCGTTTTGCTTATTGGACTTTCCATAGAAATATTTTGTAAGATTGCTAAGTAAGTTATACAAAATCTGCAAGTTTTTGAACATAAAGTCTGTGGATGGTCCTGGTTTAATAGCGACATTAGCTAATGTATAAAGTATTTGTATAATATGCGACAATTGTCTACATAAACTGCGTTCTTGTGTTCTCAGCTTTTCTTGATCTGTATATTTGAGAGGGGAGAGAGCGAAATTTTTTGTATATTATTATATTATATCAAAGAATACATATGAAATCAAGTAATATCAAGGCGAAATTAAACATACGTGCTTCAAGATCTTCGCCAGGCGGACAGGCTATATTTTGCTCAGCCTTAAGCCGCATCAGTAACCAAGATACATTATCCAACTTCTCTTTTATTGAACTGTTTACCAAATTGTAAAGTTGTACCGCTGTATTTTCATGAATTATTCTCAATTTATTATTTTCTGATAGCTCAGCCTACATATAAATAATATCCAATAAAAAAGTTTTACATTCCCTCATATACAGTAACAATAAGATACATATTGCAAGAATATTATATATACTAATCATATATACCTGATCGATTTTACCCACTTTCTCGCACAATGCAAAAGAGATATCAATTAATAATTCACCGTATTCTTTATTACGTTCTTCTATATATAACAGAATTTGGAAAATAGTTAAAGAAGCTTGAGGATCCATATCTTCTAATTGTGTAAATTTCATCATCG